CAGTAGCTTGCTGTTAATATGTTTTTCCCTCAAAGGCATCAACATTGACAGTATTCAACTGTATTTACAAATAATGGTGCATTACTGTACAAAATGTCCCGTTATTTTACAGCAATTTGTTACAGTGCGTTGACTGTCTCTATTTTGAGTGCATTTCATCTACATGCATTGACATCCTGTCAAACCTTTATTTCTGTATGTATGTAGGCTAAAGTTTATTTGTAAATATCTGTCATATTGTTATGTATGTTGAATTATTTTGTTTTTGATTGTTATCATTCAATAACAACCATGACGTTATTTACACAATAATAGTTAATAAACTAGGTTTTAAATAAAATATATATATTTCTTAGTGGCCCCTGTGCATATCTGGATGAATCGAAAGGTGTCTGCATGTCTCTTAACCAGCATCTGGAGGTATGCATCTGATGGACGTCTGTTTAGGATTTCATCACTTAAAAAACTAAATATCTAACACACAAGTAAACTTCAAATAAATTGTGTAGTACACATTATGGAATTAAGAAAGCTCACTTTCAAAGCAGCAGTTACTTATTAAAAGACAAAATGATTGGACTTATCTACTGTGAAGTCAATAAACAGTAAAGATGGATGTAGATGACTTCACTTGGAGGCCAGAATAATTCATGTGCAAGAGTTGTAATCACAGCACCATCTCTGGACACGGTTTCATATTCAGCAACGGAGGGGTATTGTAACCACAAGTCATGACAAAGGGTGAGGGGATTTCACCCATGAAGCTGCTGATGTCATACAGGGTAGTAGACATGCTGAAGGGAGTGCTTCACGGTGATCAGATGAAACTTGCACACGACCCCCACGGCCGTCATTATTAGTGAGGCTCCCTTGTACATCAAAGCCACAATTCCCCCTCCCTCTAATCACAGTGGGGTTCACGTGAGCAGAACTGTGGGAGCTGGGACTAGGTGTCTAATGCATTTCTTCAGCCCCCAGTGACATGTGCTGAGCTAGAGCTTCAGCCACTCACCCTCAGAGAGGGTAATAACTCACTGTAAACCCAAATAAGAATACTCAAAATATTTGTGGAAACTGATTACCTCAAACTTTTTAAGTAGTGGTAATAATATTTTTGACTAAACCTTAACTTAAATATAATACTAACATTATTTAAAAAAATCTTTCATTTCTGCATACTAAATTACATCACTGATGCTTATTAAAATTAAATTCCACTAATTCTTTACTCAGTAAATTTAATTGTGCACAACTTATAATCTGGGGGAAATCTACTCAAAAAATTAATTGTGCTAGACTCAAATACTAATGGAAACTCACTCAACCAACCTACTGCTCGTACACTTCAAATTTACAAAATGCCCACTTTCAGATAGTTGTCCTCAAAAATACGAATCCAAATCCATTATTAGATTTCAAGTTCTCTTTATTAAACAATCAGTAAAACTTTAAACATCATCTGTCATTTAACAGACAATAAATTAAGCACATCTTGCATAAAGCTGAATGGACTAAGTATCTGACTGCTTGATCAGATAACCAGTAACAATTTTGATAATCAATTTGTTTTCATTCTTTTTGGTGTTAAGTGATAATAACTTGAATCTCTTGAGCAAAGTCCTTTGATCCAAAGAATCTTCAGGTCCAGCCCTACTAGATTGACAATCAAAATAATTATTATAGAAATATTTTTACAGCACATTAAGCCATATAGTGTAACATTTCTTTCAATGTAATTCTAAAATAATAATAATAATGTTGATAGCAATAATGAAGGTTACGATATGGTAACCCTAGTTCTATAAGCACAGGTGGAGCCCTCTACTGGTCTATGGGTATGACTGCTTGCCCTAGCCGCGACAAGCCAAAGTCCATCACACCAACCAGACCACCACTTCACCTAGTGACAGAATGGTGGGACACCCCTGAGAAGGTCGCTGGACCAATAGGGGCTTGGCCTGACCATTAACACCTGGACTGCCCTGACTTCTCACTGGAACGTCAGGCACTGCCAGTGTATGTTCCCCCTCTACACCCAGTAGTCACCAGATCCTCACTTTTCAGATCCTAGGTCGCACTTGCGAGCTGGATCCCGAGAAGGATCCCGACATACCCAAGAGATAGAAACGCACAAACGAGCACAGTAAGGGCCAAGATGCCATTGTGCAGATCTCTGCGACACACACCCTGCTGAAAAAGGGTCGTAGACACTTCCACACTTCCGAGTGGAATGTGCATGCACCGCTAAGGGTGGGTCTGTTCCTGCCCGTGTCCAGGCTTGGGAGATTCACTCACAAAGCCAGCTGGCCAGGCTCTTCTTGGACAGGGTGTTACTGACTGCACTATCACTGAAACAGACGAACAGCTGACCAGTGCATCGAATGGGAGCTGTGTGCTCTATATAGGATGTTAGCCTAGCACACATGGACACAACAGATGCACTTTCACCTCCCTGCACCCTAAGTGGGGTAGGGGGGTGGAAAGCATCCAGATTTTATTGTCCTGGACCTGAACATGCTCCTTATGTTCTTAAGAACAAAGGAGGTGTGTTGTCTCAAACTGGCTCCAGCATTTTCTTGATCATCAGCATGTGGAAACGCCCTCTTGTCCATTATGCTGGTTCAGGTGGCAGAGAGCCAGAATGGCTCAGAAGCCTCTTGTCTTTTTGGGGACCAAAAAAGTACATGGTACAAGACCTCTGTGCATGTCATGCGCAGAGATGCCCTAAGACAGCCTGCTTCAGCAGAAGTTGCTGGATCTCGGCGGCCAGGAAGTCCACTTCCTCTTGAGAGGATAGACTGGCTTCCATTATGTCCAGGAAAACTGGTGGTATGAATGGTCCTTGAATATTCCACGGTCTGTTGATCCGTGGTGTCCTTGAACGCAGCACAGCTCGCTGCTCCAATGACGGCTCAACGTGCAACAGTGTCACCGTGAGCGCGTCATCAGTGGAGCAGTCATGTAAAACAATGGCATCTTGAACACCAGACAGGGGATTGTGGCAGCGTCAGCAGGTCTCTGTCCCTGCATAACGGTCACCTGGCCAGTCGCTCCCTTCCCCATCCGCAGGCCTGGACTTGTCCGGGCAGGACATGGGTCAGCTCGTCCAGGTGCAAAGATAATTTTTTTAGAAGTGGCAGTGGTGAATTCAGTGAGCAGTTCGTCGTTTGCTGAAGAAAAACGGATGCTGAGGCAGTAGGGACACTGCTATTTATACGTCACGCACGTATCGGTAGCGACTTCCTATTGGTCAGCTACGTGCACAATAAAATTACTGTGGGCAAGTGCGTGCGTGTGATTGGAGGAGGTAGTACCCATAGAGTCCAGCAGAGGGCGGAGCCTGCGTGAGATGAACAACAAATCCATCCAGTTGCAACTACTTAAAGACAAGTCAAATTTACACAAATGCAGTGACTCAAACAATGGGTGAGAAATAGAAGCTAACCATAACCTTAAACATGACAATGAGAGAGATTTGGAAGCTAGTGCAGCAGGGCTGGACCTTATTTGACTATTCCTTCATTGCGTTGGTATTCATTTTTAAATTTTGGGATGTGGAGATTCGCACAACCACCTACATTTCTGTCCTGCACAACGCTGCACAACATACCAGCTTGCACCGCCCTTTTCAGTTTGTCTGCTGTATGTTTTGTTGCCCAAAAAACACAGCTCGCATTTTGAACTTTTTCACCTAAGACTCTGTGTTAACCACCGCAGGTGAGCTGCTTGTGGAGAAGGCCTATGGTAGATCGCTCTCTGTTTGTGTCTCTGCAACTGTCAGTAGAAAGTATGGCGACTGATCATGGATGGAGTTGGTCTCTTGGATGGATAGAAAAATAAAAAGTCATGCACAGCACATAAAATCTAAGTGAAATTGAGGATTTTTTGTCTTGTGTTATGTGTTCAGGGTGTCCAAAGAATTTAAAAATAAGCTTGTAAATGGCTTTTAAAGAGATCGTGTACACGCTATCATCTCTCGGTGCACTGCCTGCCTGCCCAGCATATCTTCAAGCCAGCCACACTACTGACTTCCCCTGCACCTACCTTGCCCCGTGTTGTGTCCTTACTGCTGTTGAATAAACTGCTTGAACGTTCTCCCATCAAAAGTCTGCTTCTGGGTTCTGTTTAAAACAATACGTGAAAGTATATTATAACTGGTAGTTTTCCAAATGGACTCTGGTGTATATTATACAGTAATTGGGAGTAGTTTTCCAAACTACTTATTATAATATTGACCAGACTCCCTTTGGAAATCTACCAATTATAATACGCCAGGTCCCCTGCTGGATCCCCTGCAGTTTGGTCAGTTGATGATGTAGCTTTTTATATACAGTCTATGTGATGTAGTCTACTTGGGACTACATTATCCTGCAACACCTTGACTCTCCAGGGACATATGCAAGGATCCTCGGCGTTCAACAGCATCCTCAACATCCTCAGCACCAAACTCATCCAGCTCACTGCGCCAGCCTCCACCTGTCAGTGGATCACAAACGTCCTGACTGACAGGAGTCGGCAGGTGCGGCTGAGGAACACCACATCCAGCACCCGGTCAATTAGCACTGGCGCCCACCAGGGGTGTGTGCTTTCCCCCCTGCTCTTCTCCCTCGACACCAACTAATTGGTAGGCCTAGTAGTTTTATTGTGTATTTGTACTTTTTAAAGTAGTTTTTTATTTAAATCTGTAATTTTACTTTTTACTTAAGTGTGTTTTGATGAAAGTATTGTACTTCGCTACATTTTCAATCACATCCGTTACAGTAGAAGTAAAAAAAGTTTAAAAAAAACTCGCGACCACTTTGGCTTCAAGAGCAAGAGAACAATTTCATCATGCAGTGTAAGCAGCTGTGAAAAAATGCTGTATTAAGTTACTGCTAATGCAAACTGAACATTTCACTTTAAAAGCATTTAACTGACGAAACACAAGTTGACTTTTATTTTGAAGTAGCCACCGGAAATGCAATCTATAAGTAGGTTTAGCGCCGACTGCTCTCATTCATTAAAAATGCGTCTACACAACAAGATAACCGTCATTTTCAACCAGTTTGAAATATTGCTGTGAGTAATTCTACAGTCAGGAGCAGACACAGCGAGCTGTTAGATAAAGAGCTGCAGGCGACAGGCTGCTCACCTCCACCTTCTGAGCCAGGTAACCAACTCCTTTCACTTTCGCGGTTCGCAGACTCATGTTGTGTGCGGCATAAAGTAAGATCATGGCTACTCACCTAATTATGGAAAATACCAATAACTGCCCGATAATAGTTTCTTTAGCTACCCCAGACTTCTATGTCCTGTGGTATTACTGTAGGCATTGTTGAGTTTTAAAAAGTTACAACAAACTTAATGTACTCCAGTGTTTCAGTGTTTTCCTTCAAATTTAAAACTGCAGGGTTTTAAGCCAGACAATTGCATTAGAATGTTAATTAAACCACTGTTTATCTCCTCTTTGTAATGTGAACGAAACTGACACCTCTTTGTTTAGTGCCTTTGTTTAATACCTGCCCACATACCTGGAGGAATTCATTTTGTGAGAATCAGGACTGTAAGCTGTAAATCTGAAAAGAGGAACAACTTTCCAGTCCACTGCAGTGTTTTTGTTTCATGTTTGTTCTGTAATGCCATCTTTTATTCACCTATTTTTTAATTAAATTTTCTTGTTAATTTTCATCGGATCCAGCCTCTCCTTTCTCAAAATCTGAAAAAACGCAACAGCATCTGCTGTTACCACCAGTAACTACAGGTGTCACATGCACAATAAAGCTGCATAATAACCTCAAAACCACATGATTAATATATATCATGCCAATAAGAGTTACATTTACAGATTTTAACCATCACTCCTCGGTGAACTGCCTCTGGTCTTAGAGCATTTTCTAGTTAGGCCTATGTAGAGCCTATGTAGATTTATCAGTATCTACCATGTTTTTAGGAATCTGTTCACATTGATTAAGCTAATAAAAATTTCATTTTGTGAAAGTTGAAAATAATAAACAGAAATATGGTAATTACTTTATTTTTGAAAGTCCGACCTCCACAGTGTCTACTTAGAAAGATTTGTGCCCTTGAACAAATGTAGTTGAGGACCCCTAATGTAGAGGTAAGTTAAATAATAGCCTACTTGTACCATTCCATTGGTGGTTAAAAATAAGTTTTCATAGTTTGGTAAGATACTTTGCTCCAAATAGCCAAAAAGACATCCTCAGAAGTGAGGATTTATTGCAGAAATGTTGGATTAGACTGCATTAAATTTACCTAGATGTACCTAATAAACTGTTGACTAAGTCTGAATACATTTATCACAACAATAAACTCTACCCATATCACATGTTTGTGAGAAGCCTTTATTTTGTAAACTAATCAAAAGTTGGTGTTCATATATTGTTTGCACAATTATTACTATAGAGAGTGCTGCTGAAGGAATTTCATCTTGCCTATAATCACCTGACTTGCGAAAAAAATAATCAGCATTTGATGATGTTCTTGTTGACTGAACTAATGGTAATTCTTCATATTGTTTTTTTTATATTTGCTCTCGCAGAGTATTGAGTGGCACTACAGCTATCCAAGGTATGTTATCAATTTGCATATTTCTGCGTCAATTGCTGGCTTGCTGATCAGACATAGCCAACAACATTTCACAGTGAATGACATTTTTACATGAAAGAAGATATTTTAGCTCTGCCATGAGACATATGAGGGATATTGTACTGAAGTGTATTAGTCCAGCAATGACTATGAGATTTTATGATTATAGATTTCATAGATCTTTGATTTCTTTTAAACATTTCAGAATGATTGGCAGTGATCAAAAGCCGAGAAGACTGTAGATCTATTACAGCATTAAGTGAAAATATTTTTCACTGTAGACTCTGTTAAAGTCTGTTATTAACTTATGATGATATGGTTGAATGACTCCTTTGTGGTTCTTAAACTATTTAGTACCTGACTGAAATTCTGTCTCAACCCTGTTCAGACCAAAAATGGCACTGTTGATAAACAACACAAGGGTAGGAATGTTGCTTCAGGTAGAAGCTAGATGATGAAATATTATACAATTAGTCTAGTTTAAAATATATTTGATTGGCTAACTCAGTTCTTAGCCACATAATCTTTCATTTTGATGCAGCAAAACCTTAGTCAGGTTAAAGAAGTTTGCAGGATGACCTGCAAACTGCATTTTCTTGTCTTGTCAGTGCAGTGGTGTCCATTTCTCAGGTAAAAACTATATTCTTTTTGCCATATAGTCAGCCATCCTGCTTAAAACAAGTAATTGATGCATTATGTTTTCCTGTCAAGGCCCAAGTTGAAAGCCATTAATCTACATACATTTATGTATTTGCAGATGTTTGCTGAGTTCATCGCTTTACAAATGTTGAACCTATGCAACCAATTCTACTGCGAGCTTGAGAGATACACACCACAACTGATTGCCCTGTACAGGCAGAAGGCCAAGAGAGCAGAGGCCCAGCAGAGATCCTAAGGATTTATGACCTTCAGGTGAGATAAGATTACTTTTGCATTTATTTTTGTAAGTTTTCTGGTACATGATCACTTTAAAAGCCATTTACAAGCTTATTTTTAAATTCTTGGGCTGCACTGAACATATAACACAAGACAATATCTTCTAGAAAAATAGAAAATATCTTCTATTTCTATTTCACTCAGATTTTATGTGCTGAGCATGACTTTTTATTTTTCTATCCGTCCAAGAGACCAACTCCATTCATGATCGGTCGCCATATGGTCTACTGACAGTTGCAGATACAATCACACGCACGCACTTGCCCACAGACAGAGAGAGATGTACTATAGGCCTTTTCCTCAATCACCTGCAGTTGTTAACAAAGAATTGTAGGTGAAAAAGTAAAACATACAACTGACAATGAAAGTCGAAAGCGGACAGATAGCAGCCTGTATGTGTCTGTCGCTGTATGATACAGCAAGAGACAAACTTAAAAGCGCGGTGCAAGCTGGTGTGTGTGCGGCATTGTGCGGCACAGAACTGTGGGTGCTTGTGCGAATCTCCACATGCCAAAATTGAAAACTGAATACCAATCCAATAAAGGGATAGTCGAATATTCGGGTCCAGCCCTACTGCACTGGCTTCCAAATCTCTCTCATTGTCATGTTTAAGGTTATGGTTAGCTTCTATTTCTCACCCATTGTTGGATTCACTGCATTTGTGTAAATTTGACTTGTCTTTAGGTAGTTGCAGCTTGATGGACTATTTTAGAATTACATTGGTAGAACTGTTACACTATATGGCTTGATGTGCTGTAAAAATATTTGCATCATAATCATTATTTTGATTGTCAATCTGTAGGGCTAGACCCGAATATTTGATCGTTGGGTACACATTTGATTTTCAATTTTGGGATTCGAATATATTTTTTCCCCACACGTCTGACATCCACCCACAGTAGTGAACGTAATACTCCTCCCTCTCTTGCACTTGGGACTACTAGCCTAGCCGCGAGAAAAGTTAAACACAACCTTTTGGTAATAATAATGTGTTATTATATAGCCTACAGGTAAATAAGATAAAATATAAATGAAAAAGTCCATTTAATGTATCTGATTTGGGAACAAAAGTGCTCAGATATTAGCAAAGCTATCAGGTAGCAAGATTTATTATGAAAAAATGTACAAGTACAGAAAGTAGACAAACTAACATCAGTAAAATCCAAACTATGAAGAAACTCGCCTTGCTTTGGCTTACTTGTCAGTACAGCAGGAGAGCCTTTTAAGTTTAGTGTGTAAAAACTCTGCAGTTTAGCTTGTAAGTTTCATTTGGACAACAGAAACTAATGAGAAACATGCAAAAGAAGCACACAGTTCATGTTCTTGAACATGTTATTTCAAATAAATTGGACTTGGCTCTCCTCCCCCCAAATATTGTCACCATTTTGGGACCACTGCTTTACAGTGAGTAACAGAGAAGATGAGTATTCTGGGATGCCCATGGCTGTAAGGATGCATTCATGTGCTCCTTGGATGGTCCCATTTCCTAAGTTGTGAAGTCGTTCTTCCGACATCAGTGTGTTCACGTGCTTTTAAGTCAGAATGTGGAAACAACATAGACAATGCTACAAAGATGTGTTGGATTGTCATTGTCATCAAAGTAAGTTGTCCAAGTTGAAGTTTTTACTGCACCAGGACATTACCTGAAACCATTAAAATATTGATTGTACTGCAAATATTGCTATTATTTATATTTCCTAATTAATCTAGGTCTAAGGTGTAGGTGGAGAACCTCACCTTTTCTGTTTAAGTTTAATAAAACTATACAAGAAACCTTTGAGAATACGTTAGCCACAAGGTGGCACAGTAGTACAACACTACAGAAATGGTGCGTCACTGTGATGTGACAGAAAAGAAAGTGAAAGAGAGAAATAGCCTTAGATTACAGTCTATGTTCCTCATTTTATTAACTGTACTGCTTAATGTATGGTTAAATGGTAGGTCAGATGATGTCTTTCAGCTCATATTCTGTTGGGAAGTGTCACTGACCACTGAGTGAAGCCCAGTTGAAATCCAAATATCTTCCTTGTCATTACTGACTGTGTTTATGGGTGTGAATCACTGACTGCGTAGGCGGTCCATTTTAAAACAGTATACCATGGTGTGAAAACAAATAAACAATCTTTTCATTGTGCCTTTGGTGTGGTATTACATTTCGGAACATGTACCTATTCACAACAGCAGATGGAGTGAGTGAGCCAGTTAGACTACTTTAAGAGAGTGAGTCATTGACTTGTAGCTTTAATGTTGCTAGGTTAATGAGTTTCTGTCCAGCTGTAATATGTCTGCTAATTAGTACCAAAAGTGTCCAGTAAGTCCAATTTAACACGTTTTTTTGCTATCAATTAATAGCAAGTAGAACTAAGTGGAAAACGTCCCTACGTCTTGCTACTGCAAAAATAACTATGAAGCATCAAGAAGCATTGCGTCACACAATAGTCCTGTTTGAGAATAACAGCTTACAGTCAAGGAAAAACTTTCTGTTTCCCAGAACTGCCCTTTTCCAGTAAAGGACCTGACAGGAGAGCCCATGAATGAACTACAGAGTGAAGCATGAAGCCAGGAGAGAAACCACGGTTGCCTTCTAGCTGTAAATAACATACAGGGACAAGCTACAGAAAGGTGATGTTTATGCTACTAAAATGCTAACTAGCATACTTTAACTTCACACAATTACTGTGTCTTAGTTCGGATACTTCCTTTAGTACACTTACATGTAGTACTCTTTGTACACTATGGGCCACATTGAAGGTTTGTGTGAGTAAAGACGTGTGCAAACTTGGTATCACAAGCAAATTAACATGTAAGCTGATCTACTAACGGTGTGCATGGAGAATGACGTCTTCCAAAAGTGCAAGATAACACCTGTTATTCATTTATTACTTTTGCCTTAATGAATATGCAATTTGGGGCATTTAAATTTTATTGTGTAAAGTAATGGTAATTACTACACGCAATGTGATCTAACAAGGCTAAAAGCAATTTCATGTGAGTTCAATAGCATCTGTATTTAATACGTTTGAAAGGAAGGTTATCGTTGCGAGGAGGAGGTACAGGCGTAATGAAAGAAGACGTAGAGAAATTAAAAATATTCGATAATATTATTCTATATCCAATATATTGAAATAAAATTATTTTATTTATTCAATAAATTATATGAATTGAATTGGGTTTTTTTTTTTGTATTTTCCTTGAGGCTTTGGCAATACTGTTGTATTAACAGTCAAAAAGCAAACTACCACACATAGCATAAGTAATGTAAATGTTCTGTACAGCACCTTTCAAGTCTTTTCAACCACTCAAAGCGCTTTTACACTACATCCGCATTCACGCACTGAGCCTAAGTGCTCAAACAGAAATTAACATTCACACACTCGACCACCAGGGGCAATTCAGGGTTCAGCCAATGGACACTTTGACATGCAGCCTGGGGGAGCCAGGATTGAACCTCCGACCTTCTGATTAACGGCCAACTTGCTCGACCTCCTGAGCCACAGCCGCCCTTAGCCCTTAGAAATGGGAATATGGATTGTGCCATTGCTAGACACTACAAAGAGAAAAACCATGGTTCGGCCACTTCCCTTAAATTTATTGGCATTGAAAGATTGAGTCCTAATCCAAGAGGGGGTAACCTGATTAACCATCTTTTAAGAATGGAAGCTTTTTGGATTCTTGGATTGAACACGATTGAGCCTCATGGACTTAATCATTCCTGTGATGTAGATTACTATATATCTTTCTCTGAGGTGTGTTTTACCTTCAGGGAAAGTTGAGATACATAGTGTCCTGTCCTCCCCTTAAGGTGTATATGACAGATGTAGGATCTACGGGCTATTTGCCTTATGATACTTACTGTATGAGTTCCTGTAATGATGTAATGCTGGTGACTTATGTACAGTATATATGTATTGATGTTTTTTGATCTGTTTGGATACTAATCACATTCTTGCTGTTTTAATTATAAGATTTTGTATAAGATGTTGATTTTATGAATGTTTATACATGAGAAAAATGTCATAGAAAAAATGGAATGCACTGGTCATATGACCTACACAGTGTCTATTTAGCACACCTGTGAGTGTTTTTGTAATTTCACTGTGTGAGCCTGAAGAAGCAATGGGCGAAACGCATTGCTCACAATAAATGCAGTAAAGTCAGATCAGTGTGCAGTAGTTTGTTTTTTGACTTTTCATAGCCTCATCCTGCTATCTACCAGCACCTGGTTGTTGTTGCTGTGTTTGGGGAATTTCTTGTTTTATTGCCCACTGTTGTATTAACATTCATACCTAAAAAGCAAATTTTGTTTCGACTTGACTTCTTTTCTCCATGAGATGGAAGAATTTAGAAAGTTGCGTTGTTAACAGCGCGCCGGTCATAATAGCGACACAACCCATTATAGGTATCAAAGATAGAATGGAGCGTTGTGGGGTACAGGGCCAGGGACAGGAGGTCGTGAAGCGACCAGGCACAGTGCGGACAGTCGGTGATTGTTCCCTCTGGCTGGATGAAGCACAATCTGCTGGCATAAAATCATTTAACCAGGAAAAGTTACTTTTGAATATAAAATTATTCAACTTTAGGGGGCGCAGTGGAAAACCTGATCCTCCCTGTACCTCGCACTCTCTGTGGATTGTCTATTATATTTTTTCTAGAGCCCAAGAATCCAATCAGTTCCTATAATCAGTACTCCTGCCATGTATCAATTAGTGTGTGGCAATTTAATTGAACACCAAATAATTTAGGAACATGCACCATTTGAGCACAAAATCATTCAAACTAAAATAATAGGATCAGTAGGAACCAGTAGTTTATATTAAGCTTTAGTGCTTTTCAAGACAAACCAGACAGGAGTCGGGACAACTGCTCGTAATTCAGGACGTCTGGTCACCCTAGTTAATAAGTTCACGTTAACTGTGATAATAACTGTGATGCTAATTTTAGCTAGCGAAAAACAGGCTTAGACAAGATATACAGCTGACTCCTTTGATTGTCTTTTAGTACAACCAAATGCTGAACGTGACATTTTTAGGCAACCAAAGTGTTCCATTTAACTTTCATTAACTGAAACATGTAAATGCTCTGGATAGTGCCTTTCTTTTCTATGCAACCACTCAAAGCACTTTTTACTCTAGATTGCATTTACCCATTTACACACATTCACAAACTTAGCCTAAGTGCTCAATCAGAAACTAACATTCACACGCATTCATACACCAATGGAACAGCCATGGGCTGGGGATTGGACTGCTGATCTTCCAATTAGCGGGCAACCCGCTCTACCTCCTGAGCCACAGCTGCCCCAAAACACTCTGAAAGGGTCAAAGTTCTTTGACTGACAGCTCTCCAAAAAAAGTTAACTGCTCATTAAATGCAGCACCGTTAGATGGACGCAGTGTTGAGTCACCTCTATCCTGATTGACAGGTGGCCCTGGTAGCGACTAGTCAATCACAGGATAACCACGCCTTAAAGCATACTCTGCTTTATTGTCTATTTTCCTCTAAATGGGACCATAATTTACAAAATGAACATCATGCTGTTTTGCAGAAGACTTGAAAGTAGCGACTAAGGCCATAAACTCATTAGGAAAGTTGTTTACTGTGGTAATAAATAAAGTGAATCAGTTTGCCAATTTGCCAGTCACTGAGCTCACCGAACAATCAGCGGCCAATCAGCGTTTCTGGTGTAGTTTCACATCATTTCCCGTGTCACTTTTCACATGTTTTTTTGACAAAACGTGGTTTGGAGACAAGTCGTCAGGTGACAGTCATTGTCAATTCGTGTAGTGTGTGACCCCCTATCGTCGATCAGTCACGTAATGTGAACACGACTTCAAGGCTCCCGTTACAAGACAGCAAGTTGTGTCGAAGGTAAATGTTGTGTAGTCTGCACGAGCCTTAAGTCCAATGCAATCAGACTTCTTTTTGCAGCCACTGGAGTCGCCCCTTGATGGCCTTCAGAAAGAAGTTAGGTCTAAGCCACTTCCACATTGGGTTCACTTTTCAGACCTGGAGGTTTCCCCTTTTGTAGCTACCAGATATGTTCGGCTTGGCAGATCTGCTTGGGTCCCGGTGAAACTGGATCATATTTTATGGAGTTTCTTTAAAGCAGGGGTGACCAAACTGCGGCTCGTGGGCCAACTGCAGTGGAGTGGATTTTTTAAAATAAACTAAAATATGACTTGAGCTTATTTCTAATCTTCAACTACTACTTGACCTTCAATGATCGATTATAGTGGATGAAAACATTTACTTCAGTTGATTAAACATGGCGGAACTGAAAAGACGGAAGATAGCGAGTGAATGCCAAACATTTCAGAATCTGGCCTGTGACTCCTTATATTTTCCTGCAGGTGGATGGGTATGTCCGTGTGCTGTGCCTGGAGCAGATCATGAACAGATGACTGTATAAGGACATCCTTATCTAGCTGATGTCAGCTAGGCAGGAAAGTGCTCTGAAACCTAGTATTCAGAGCAGTCTGAAGCCTGAGCATTTTGCTCACAAGGATTACTTTTACATCCGATTATCTCATTAGTTTAAACTTCGGCCATGAACATCAAACATTTTAACATTATAAATATGACAAAAAAGGCATTTGGCATTTGAAAGTAGCATTTCAATTAGGAGATGAATGAATGAATGAATGAAATTATAATGTAAACTTACTGGACTGTGTTATTTTTTGCATAAAATGATCTTTCACCTGAGTGGGGCCTGTAGGGAGTGGTGCGAATGTTGGTGGATCAGGAACGTAGCCAAATCTAACTGTAGTTAGATAAATTTAGTACTTGACAAGGTGACTTTCACCTTTGTTTCTAAACTACGATTAAAAGAAGAAAACAATGAATGTTTGATTGTTGCCCAGTCTGTGCTTCCAAAGCAAAACAGAAACAACTTATTGATTTCTGAGAAATACAGAAAAAGGACTGCATTAAGTCCTTTACAGATGAGGAAATACCAGTTGGTCAACACATTTTATAGACTGAAGACTTTTTTTAAGCACTTCTTCAGATTTCCAATGTAAATATTAATTGAGATTTTTGATCAAGAAAATAAGCTCTGTATAATGATGTGAAAGACTACAATCTCCATGTAGCAACAATTAGTAAAGGAAAAGCTTTGTGCTGTAAGAACAAAATGTGAGGGGCTTTGGGTATATATATAAACTACATATATTATTTTGAAATTGAATGCTGTGTCTGAAAAAAGCATCAGATCTTTTTACTCTACCACAAGCCCTGTGAAAATGTCAGAAGCACAAAGAAATAGATGGGAAGCAACAGGAAAAGAAAGTTTATTATGCTTTAAGTGGGAGTCTGTAATAAATTCAATTTTTTATTATTATTATAAGAGGATAAATCAAGGCTAAAATGATTAAAAGGGTTAGGTTAGATCATGATAGTGATAAAGCAAAAGAGGCATTTTTAGACTGGTGTAATGAAGTAGGGCAGAAGGGCAGATTGCCCAGAATTTGGAAGCCAGTAAGCCTATTAATTATAGGTGGATTGCTTAGCTGAAATCGCATCTTTGTAATCTTTGTGAAGTAATGGAACATATGACAACGAAAAGACTTAAAGAGGCTGGAAATGAATCATGTCTTTAAGTGGGGCCATGAAATGGAGGGTCACCATGGAAATGGAGATAAATAGAAGATGAACTGGGAAATGGTTACAGCTGGGTTCTTGATGTGGATGGAAACTAGGATTTGATATGGAAGAGTTGGTTATTTATAAAAAAGAACTGATTCACAATTCAGGTATTCAGGACAGGGTATGAAGAATGTTCTCATCTTATATTTTCAGTGGTAATGTGAAATAGTCATAGCTGACTATATAGGAGTCCAAAAACATACTGTTAAAAGTAGTTCTTTTAGCTTGAAATGAACCCATACTCTGGACACTTCCTGTCTTTTTCTAT